CTTGATTTATTACAAATAGTAAGTTTTTGAACACTCTAAGAAATTCTTTCGAAACAACGTTCCGCTTGAAAGACGTAGCAAATTCTCATTTAACAGAATCGATTTCGTTTTCCAGAACTGATCCCGTTTTTTCCAACACTTATCCTGATATAACAGAATTGATTCCATTTTTTTCCACCACATATTTTCATTTAACAGACACAAAATTTGCTTATTGAAAGCAACTCTGTTCTTTCTCTATTCACAACACAAAGTTTTTTTTTTAATAAGCCATATCAACGAAAAAACCAGCTAACGGCTTTATGTGAAACAAAAGAAATTTGGCAAGTGCAAAAAGAAGTGATTCGAATCGAAAAATTAAACAAAATCTATCACGAAAAATTAGATAAAAAAAATAAAAATATAAAGACCCACCTATAATTTTTTTATATATATATCAAATTAAGTGTATTAAAATTGTTAAGTATATCTGAAATTTTGTTTATTAAGATTATTAAATGTATCTCAAATTTTGTGTGTTAAAGTTTTTAAATATACAATGGAGCAGAACGGAGCAGATTATATCATGGAGCTGCCACTTTTATTGCTTAGAAGCCACCACACTTTTGAGTTGCCACAAAATTTAATTCAGTTAATAGTTTTCTATAGACAAAAAGGAAGGATGTAGACATTATTCGTTACACACGCTTGTCATAAAAAATTGGACTTGCGAAGACGCCACTTACTGTATTGCACTGCGAAAGAGGTCTTGATTCGAATGTTTATAAATCAATGATGGTACTTAAAAAGAGCTGCAGAATGTTTATAAATCCATGGGTGGCATGTAAAAAGAGCTATAGAATGTTTATAAATGAATGAAACTGAGAATGCAACACCTATTATTGTCGAGAATTTAAGAATATTTTTAAAATTGAAATAAATCAGTAACGAATGTAAAGACGATAAAAATGTTTTTTTTAAAAGATAATTGTGTTATCGATAACGTCTTTACAAGGCTAACTACATTCTTAATGTAGTAACAATAATTTCATTAATATCAAAACACTAAGAACGAATTTTCGTTTGTAAATATATAAATCTAGAAATGTATTAAATAAACTTTAACTCTTTTTAGCGGAAAGTAGGTCACGGGTCGTTGGAACGAGGAGATTCGGGGATTCCTCATTGAAACTCATGGGCTGACGGAGACCGTAGATAAGCCAAGGTTAAGAGGGACCCAAGGCGTAAAATCAGCCCTTCCAATAAGTAGATATTGTCCGCTCGTTGGTCTATATTTAGAAAGACATAAGGATTTTGCAGAGAGATGGCGTGTTGGATTCCATCCCAAATTTTTAAGGGCGAAAAGCAAGAATTTCCTCTGAAGTGATTCTATTGAGTCAACGTGGCACTTATCGGAAGAAGACCGTACGAGATCAATAGATTATGCCCAAATTTGCAACCTTGGCTTGTTTGTAATCAACAAACGCATGGAAAGCATTACCCACAATAAATTGATAGACGTGGATTTTACCTTTTAAAAATCATGTTAACCAGGGGAGATTAGCGACTTAATTGCAGACGTAAGTTGTTTAGTCAGTAAGACTTCAAGCAACGTTATGATAATACAGGCTAACATATAAGCAAACTTTGAAAGGCCATTGTGGGCAAACCACGACCTATGAAAAAATGAAACTAGTACAGCATGAATCCTCTATTAAAGCCTTTTCCAAATTTTCCAAGTAAGGGTTTTGCCAAATAAATAAATTTGCGGTCAAATGTAACTGACCTGCACCAACCAAAATATTTATGGGGCGTAATCTGTAATATAATAAATGCAACATATTCACATATTTGGTGTATACTAGCTGCTTACATTAAAGCTTTCACTAGGCTGTCGACCTGTTACAATGCGCAAATTATCTTTTTCTGGGCAATAACGACAACGATCGTATTTGCAATTCTTTATCAAGTTCCTTTTCCTTAGACCGCAAAGGATCAACATATAAAAACTCATCTCTCCACCGTATATTTAGGTCCTATCGACAACAGACGATGATATATATATATATATATATATACATACATATATACGGAACGAAATTGTTGTTGTATATATATAGACGAAATTGTTGTTTTGTTCATATTACTTTATATGACAGTAGAAGCACATCAAGATGCGTGGAAAAGGAACGGTGCGAGACATAGACGGGCTCTGCGGGGTTTTTCAAATCCCCCCGAAAATGTGTATATCAATAATTTTTTACGTTTTACATGTAGATTTTTTCAAAAGAGCCTTGTATGATTTTATATAAAGTAAGTTTGGATTGTGCCTCAATAGCATGTTACCCATCTTCAGTCGAATCAATTGAAATTTAGGTTTAAAGACGCCCCATTTAAAAGACATTGTACATGTATCTAAAGACAAATTTCGTGATCTTTCGTTTTTGAAAGGAACGATCATATAAAACCTAACTATTTTTTTGGTGTTTTAAAATTTCATAATGAGCACAATCAACGAAAATTTACCCTGTGCCGGCAGGACGTAACATCATTCAAAAATGAAGTCGCGGTAGTGCTGAAAGAACTGACAGATTTAAATACATTCCCGAACGTTGCAAAACCCTCAGTTTCATAAGAATGTGATGAAGCTATGATTCTTATTTGTTTCAAATTCCCAGTGAAGCTAAACAAAAATTTTCGCCAAACCCAAATCTCTTTCCAAAAAATTGACAACAGAGGAATACAAAGCATTTGCTGATGAACTGATTATGAGTGATTATATGGCAATACTGTTGTCTCTGCCGCTAGTATGTTGCTTGTAATAATACCGATTATGATTTTGATGATGTTTGCAACCAGTGGCTGCAGCACAATCAATTAGATAAATAGATGCTGGTTGTAAATAAATGTTGCAAGCTGCTCTTGCTAAATCAACAATAATTATCCTTTTTATATATTTTTTTTTTCAAAAAAAAAATAATTTTTTCCATTTCTCACCTACTCAAGCACAAAAAATTTCTAAACAATCCCAAACCTGAAAAAAAAATTTTTGTTTACCCATTGTATTAATATGACCATAAAAAAGAAATTAAATATTTAAGATACTATTTAAGCTATCAACATCACTACAGGATAGCATCCAAGTAATGCACAAATAGCACCAATACCGTCCCCTTCCTAGCTTCCAACGCCAATTCAGTACCAGCATGCATCTTGTCGGGTCACTTATGGTAGCAGTGAGAAGGAGTCCACAAAAAACATGGAAAGGCAAAGAGGAAATTAAAAAAATAGTTCTCAAGAGATAGGTTCAGTAATAGGACACGATTAAACGGACGTTTATTCCTCCAGCGGCGCCACATATGATGGGAGCATGAAAAAGAATGATAAGGTCGATCATAGAGGTGCTTCGCGTTTAAATCCTTCATATCGTCTCAGTGATGAGAGCTTAAGGAGTAATTTACCTGAGGTAAAGCACGTAGCTAATTCACGTCCGCCAATATTCGTGGCGTTAGCCAACGATGATGACAAGGCTCTCACTCCAAATCATCTTTTTCTTAGATCTATCTCTAGGTAAAAAAGCACACGAAAAGAAAAATTGTTCTTTAAACTGCCTCTCGCAACAGTGAACGATGTCGAAAGACGTCGTAATTAAGGTGGCGATGGACAGGTGGGAATGGAAAACATAAAAACCTGAAAAACTGATTCTTTCGAAAGGCCTAAAGCTAATCCTACATATTTCTATTACCTGTTACAAGTATCGTTTTCTAATATCTAAAGTTGTTTTAATTTCACCACCAACAAAAAGCGAAAGTAACGATGCGAAAAATTTCTTTGAAAATTGATATCTTAAAACAAGCTACAATTAATAGGTAGCAATATACTTGAATATAACTTTTTGTTGGTTACCAAAAAGCAATAGTACCGAAGCGAAAAATTTCTTTGAAAATTAGTTTTTTCAAGGAAAGTATAATTAATATGTAGCAATATACAAGACTATGACTTTTTCTTTCACAAGATAGACATATCGAAAAATTGAAATAAATTTCATTTAACAGGGCTGGTGAAATATTGCACCATTTAACAAAAAGTTGATGCCTAAAACCTACGCTTCTCCACTGAAGGAAAAGTTATTAGCAATAACCTGCTTTTATAGGGTGGTAGGTTGGCGGTTCCAGAAGATAGAAATACAAAGATTATCCTTAGGTTAAATAAGGACCCTTAAATTCTTATTAGTGAAGACAGTGGAATAGAGAGCAAATATACAATTTGATAATTTGACGAGAAAGGAGAGAAGTTACATATCACATTTCAATGAGATATAGGTTTCTTCCTTTCCCTTTTGTCAATTTTCTCCAGTGCATTTATGTCGTTAAATAGAGCGCGACACTTGTTAAACTTGGTCAGGAGTATTTAACCTTTTCGGCACGAACGCTTTTTGTCTGCATGAACAATTTATAGAGTTCGATGTCCTCCTGCCTGCTTTCCATCAAAGCCCTTTGGATTACTCAGACATGTCATCTATAATTTTTCCTGTGGAAGTGGCATAATTCCACAATGCTCAGAACCGTTCCTTGGGATACAATTTGTATACAAGCAGTTCATAGCCTTAATTCAAAAATGCTCCAACTAAATAAGCAAGTTACAAGCTTAGAAAGAAAAATTAGCTAAACTTTACAACGACTAATGAAATCCGAATAGAGACCCAATGGATGACAATTGAAGGCAATTTACGAATTTTAATGATTACAAGCAGATTCCTTTAGAGGGAAGCAGCAAACAGTACACTGTGCCAAGCGCAGCTGCGCACCCTGTGCACCCCATCCACCACGTTCTCAGTGTATACTAGGCATTGTTATTGGTACAGCAAATTGATGCCTCGCTTACAAAGATATTTTTTTGGGCAATGGAGGTCCAATTATAATGGTTCAAATTGAAAACGTATACGGAGGATTTCACGTATGTGATCGTGATTATTTACGTTGGTTACGTGATGAAATACATAAGTACATGAGAGATCAAGCTCTATTAGTACTACTGGTATACCAGATTTAAACATTAAATGCGGCAAAATCGATGGGATGTTCGCTACAACTGATTTTGGTATAGATCGAGGTAAAACTTAAATGATCTATATAAAAAAGCATTATCTAATTCACATTTTTACCTCTAGTCAAAGAAATTGAAGATATTTGGAATACATTGAGGTCGGTACAGCCTAATGGACCTTTAGTGAATTCCGAATTTTATCCGGGTTGGCCAACACATTGGCAGGAACCAAATCAAAGACGAGACGCAAATGCTGTAGAAAAAGTCTTAAGGTAAAGCGAGTGGAATAATACGTTTTAAACTCCGCTATCATTACTCATAAGTAAATCAATGCCTCTTCAGATTATTTCGTTGCGTATTTTATCAAGAACACAATTCTACATACTTCTAAAATTTCAGAACATTTTTGACGTATAATGCCAGTGTTAATCTCTACATGTATTTTGGCGGCACAAATTTTGGTTTTACAGCTGGCGCAAATGACTGAGGTTTTGGAAAATACGCGGCTGATATTACTCCTAATGATTATGATGCGATAATGGACGAAGCTGAAGGCTTTGTACTTGTGCGTGATGACATCAGTGAGTTTATGAATGTACCAAATGCGGAAGTATTGCCTAGCAAGGTTAACGCTTTTGGTAATGTGCAAATGAAACCCTTAATCAACTTGCTTTTCGACGAAGGTCGACTGTCATTAGCAAGGGGATCATCAGTGGAATTCATTAAGTGAAATTTTAAAAATCGGTAGCAACAATTTAATATTAATAGAGTATCAACTGACTCAAAAAGAAATAGTTTAGACTCAAAACCACAATTAGATGGTTAAAACCTTTATAAAAACAAATTGACCTCTCTGTAACAAAATTGCACGACTCTCTTAAAATCTGTTAGAATTACCAAAGTAAAACTCTTTTCACATGTATCCACTTTTAAGTCATTGATGTTACAAATAAATAGTTAAGTGTGACTTTTATTTACTTTCGATGAATTTTTAAGGGATATGTTAAATGAAGTGCGAGATAACAACAGTCGTCCGAATTGGTACTTTCCATAAACTAGTTGTTACGATTGATTTCAAAAATACACATTGAAACCCTGTGTACTAATTCTCGGTTTACTAAATGTTTTCTGAAAAGAAGTAACCCACTGAAATTTCGAAATTGGCGATTGAAGTATATCCATAAAAATTGGATTGGAACTATATATAAGACTTTCGTAAATGAAATATTTTAGAAATACCAAAATGTGCATGCTAAGTTCTCAAGTGCAGATTTAATACGCGATGCTTACAAAATGCTGGTTAGCATTAAAAAAGTGTTCAGGCACAGAAGCCCCTGCATGCGAAACCCAACTGCAGTTCGTAATCATCTTCCAACCTTACTCTGAGAACATGTTTACGTTTTGTTACTCCATACATTTTGCCGAATAAACAAATTATCTTTTCCTTGTTCGAGACTGTATCACTTCAAAATAACCAATTTCTAAATTGAAGAATATGTACCACCAAAATACCTACGTACACTTTTCTCGATAAAGGCGCTTTGGTTGTGGGTTAATTCATATTACATAGCATATGACTCTCATCATGTGTAAGTGGTAAGAAAAAAAAACATCTTACTAAAGGAATGATAAAATAATGTCTGCACTGTCGGTATATTTTCAGAAGAGAATTCTTATCTCCTTGAATCGAGTAGGAATTCACTATCACTTTCGACGGTTTTTTACAAGACAATTGCAAATATAATTTTTTTAGACCACGCAACCATTCCTCTGAATGGCGAGTATGCTTTGGTACTAAAATTTTGCGAAGTTTATTTTATTCAACTAAATAAAAAAGTAAGCAAAAAAAAGAGAAAGGTTAAATGAGAAAAAAATTAAATTTAAATATTCAAAACTTTTCAGATATTTGATGTGGCGTTAAATCGTCGTCATGTTATAGTGTCTCAATTGGACATTTTCGCTGAAGTGGGTCACGGAACTGCCCATCATGAATACATCTTTTTTACAGTTAACTTGGGTAAATTAAAGTACAAGGAGAAAGTGTCTAATTTACGCAATAACTTGGTACGTTTCGATTTCATGATTTCATGAAGGGCCCTTATGGCAAAGGCTAAAGCCTTTACATAAAGACACCTTCTATCCGGACATAGATGGTAGTGCTTCCATTAGAAGTGCGAATAAAAAGAAGGTCCTTAACGGCCAATATAGAAAATTAATTTCCAATGAAGACGATACCGAAACGGATGAGTATCTAAAGAAAATGAAGAAGATGTTAACGTTGAATTCCATGAATTTCTTTCGAAAGCAGAAAGTCCTCTTAAGCCAAGCTATAAGGGTAATGAGAAAGCCAGCATATCCACTTCCCATTTTAAGTGTGTTGAAAACGTTACTGTGAGTAACAATACACATAAAGTTTTTTCTTATCCCGTGCAAACAACAAGCGACTCGAACTTTTGCATGTTTGATTACACTATAAAGCAATGTTTATCAAATTAAAGTGAAACAAATTTAAGCCCGGAAATTACAAGAAAATATAAATTAAGTCACGTTACAATAAATATTTGATTACATTTTTTTTATTTTTTTGTAAAGTTAATGCGAATTTATATTAAATCAGGTCTGGTTGTCATTACAGAAATGTCGTTTCATAAAGAATTCATGGAAAATTTTTCATATTCATAAAAACAAATTCACCAATTGAATATGATCAGTGTATTTCTCTTGCGTATATTTTACGCTGCATACATATATGTATATATATATATGTATATGGATAAGAGCTCTTCTAGAATAAATTTAAATAACTCATCGAAATTGTGTGCTCATCAAATTGGTCATCAACATATTATATATATGTACCACACCGTATATATTTTAAGATCCATTCGTATTGTAGTCAGATAAGCAGCTTTCTTACTTTTTTTCATATTTTTCCATTCAAAATTATCTCTAATAAATCGAAATTTCGAACAAATGCTAATAATAGTTTAATAGATGTTTCGGCAGGCAGTCCAAAAAAACAATTTTGAAAAGAGAAAGGGATCAGCTTAATGAAAAAATGATTCAATCCCAATTAGCCATAATACAATTTAACAAAGTCTGGGCCATTTATTATATTCATCTATTCAATAATGGCTACATTTTATCTAAATAAGACTCGAACCATGTGTTTCTACAATTTGCCTTCTGAATTTCTGGAAGTATCGAATATATACCATAAATTTGACATCGCTATCGGGTTTCATAAGCAATTTTGACTTATTGTGAACACTATCCACTTCAAATTAAGTTATTCAACAATTAAGAAAGTTTTATTTGCCAGGAGCCAAATCTCGCATATCCACTACTAGACTTCTAGCATTCTACTCTCCAAGGCCTTTTATTTGGTACTCATATCGCTGATGTTATTAAGAAAAAAGTAATCGCGGTGTCTACCGTGTTCATTTTAGAATTGACCCGTTTTCGGACAGATAATATATCGTCAAAAGAGTTTTAAGCATTTTGTGTTGTTTGCTTCATGGTAGATAAATAAGCAGCATTAACTCTCAAAAAAGTAAACAAAATTAAACTTAATTACTCGTAACTTTGTGTCGACAAGGCCTATTGGTTCCATTTCTGCATCTAAAGAGTAAGGTTTCTCGTAAAGCAAATCTAGAAAATTTCAAACTTCTAACTTTAATAACTTCCCAGCAACGAACATAAATCCAAAAATATTTATTAGAAATAACTGAGTTGCGTTCAGTTTATGCTCCGCTGCGCGCTTCTGCTCTGACCAATTTGGCCTATATCAATATCAAACTACTGAAGTTTGTAAGGAAGCGTTTTGCTCCCTTTCGAATATAGGTCGGTCCGCGTAAATGTCTAATCGTAGACCCTAGTAACCTCCTAGTAACCTAGTAAGCTCAGTCCAGTTCTTCCGTCTGCGCGAAAAAGAAACCGAACACCTCTGGGTAGGGCACTGGATCATCAGCCTCTGGCCCTAGCGTAAGGTAAGAAACCATTATCCGCATAAACGGCATAACTTACACATTACACAAGTTTGTGCGAACACCCACACGAGTATAAAATATGTATAGAGCCTGTATAAATTCTGCATAAAATCATTGCACTCACATAAAATGTGTATATAATCTGTAGGAAGTCATTACAATACACGAACACACACATGAGCATAAAAATGTACAGAATCTGCATAAAATCTGTATATAATCGGTAGAAAATCACGACAATATATGAACGCACACGCGAATATAAAATATGTTAGGAATCTGTACGAAACGGGTAGAAAACCATATAGAGAAGGGTCGGAATGTACATCACTGTTAGGCCATATCAACATACAGAAAGCTGTATGCTGTAAAAGATATAAACACACACTATGGATAAAAGCTCAAAAGTATAGAAACACATAGAACATTACACATTATTGTATAAGCACCGTTAGGGCATATAAAATTTTTAAATAACGTACAAAATGGGTAGCACCGTTAGGCCATATAAAATCTTTAAATAATGTACAAAGTTGTATAGCGCCGTTAGGGCATACAAAACATAAACACTTAAGTAGAAAAATAAGGGATAAGCATATACGATCATGCAAAACGCATAGACTCTAGCAACACGAAAAAGTCTGTATGCTTTAAAATGTATAGGCACATGCGATCTTAGGAAAGCGCATAAACTGTACAAAAATGTATAGCACAGTTAGGTCATACAAAACATGAACACTTAGGTATAAAAATGTATAGCACTTATGAACACATGACATTCATAAACTGCATAGACACGCACGAGTTTAGGAATAGGTAGAAAATGCATAAAAATGTACGAAGGTGTTGGATCATACATACCAAACATCACAGGGCTAAGCTCAGGCTACTGTGGGGATCACAGATGGTGGATTGTGATCGGCCTGCGTGTACCCAAGGGTATATCTGCAGGTTAGCTGCGAATAGACCCTGACCAAGAACGGCAGAGGAGGAGGGGCGGCTGAAAAGGCCGAATAACCCTGCGAATATTCGGTGGCAGGAGGAATAAGCACCGTCCTTGGAATAGGTGCTCCCCACCCTTAGTATGAGGGTGGCATCGAGGGAGACAACTCTACGAAGCCTAGGGATAGGCATCAAGACCGAGCCCGGTAAGGTCTTGATTATGGCATACAGGAACACGTATTTAAATCGACGATTTTGAGGTGGTGGTGGCCGTATTCCGTTACCTGAGTAGGTTTGAGTGACATCCAGCCGAAATGCCTTTCGGGCTAATGCTGACACCGCCCCCGCCACGTTAAAACTATGGCAAGTCTGGGAGGTACGATCTAGGCCGCACCGTTAAGTTTTGTGGGTGTAGGCCCAGTTGAGAAGAACTCCTGGCTAATGCTGGACCTGGCACTGAACGCTAGTCTCATAAGGGCTAGCGTCAACCCACTGTATGGCCTCACTGCTGGCAAAGATAACCATGGGGTCCTAACAGCAACTACACCAGCGGAACCGGATAGCGGCTTCCCAGTTGAGGTCCATATAAAGTAAAACATGAATAACACAAATAAACCCAAAATAGCAACGCCGATGTCTGCCGGTACGACAAAAAAAAGCTGAGAGTGGAGCGACGAGAGCCCGTTTAGGGCGAGTAGCCGAATGCAACGATCGCCGGTTGTCGGCCGAGCGCAGCCACAGTCGCCTACCAATTTAAAGAGAGTGCCTACGACAGAAGCGGGGAACATGGCGCCCTTTGTAAGGCTGGGCCACCACATAGAGGCACTGGTGGAAATGTTGGAGGACGGCAAAAGGCGGTCCATTCACCAAGCCATGAGGGATACCATTGAGGGCATCAGAATGGCCTACGAGCAGTGCGCGCTGCTAAGAGACCAGACGAGGACCGATCCGAGTGGCAAGGCCGACAAGGTCGATAAAGGGTGAGCAAGAAAGACGCTCCGGAGTCCGACCCGGAGATAAGCGCTTCAAAGAGAAGACAGCCCGGCGATATAGACGCACCAACTGCCAAGCATCGTAACGTGGCCAGTGTGCCCAAGGGGGTCACGCAGAAGCCAACCGACCAGAGTACGCGGACTACCGGCGGGGACTGGCAACAAGTGACGGCCAGGAAAAAAAAGGACCGCATACTGCAAGTCCGTAGAGGGAAACCGGACGCCATCGTTACAGCTGCGACCGTCAAGCTCTCCTACGCTGAAATGGTGCGTAAATACAAAGCCGAGCCCAAACTGAAGCAGCTAGGTGAAGTGGTCCACAAAATCAGGAGGACACAGAAAGGCGACCTACACAAAATAAACGGAGAGAAAACGGAAGAGCTGAAGAATGCAGTGAACTCCCTGCTAGGTGACCAGGCGGCAGTTAGAAGCCTGAAGCAACGCAGTACAGTCGAATGCAGGGATGTCGACGAAATCACTTCAAGGGAGAACGTCTGCGAGGCCATAAAGAGTCAATATGGGCTGGCAAACGCAGAGGTAGTTAGCCTGAGAAAGGCCTACGGCGGCACGCAAACGGCAATAATCAGCCTATCGCAAGAAGAAGCCAACAAGCTGCTAGCTGGTGGCAAATTAAGAGTAGGCTGGGTGGTGTGCCGACTAAGGGAGAACAAAGCGCTGGTGAAGTGTTACCGCTGCTTGGAATTCGGATACATTGCTAAGCAATGTAAGAGAATATGCGACCGATCAAAGGTCTGCCGACGATGCGGAGAGGATGTGCTCCAAAGATCCCCCGTGCTTTTCTTGTAAAGGCGTACGAAGTGCTGACGCTAAACACGTTGCGGGGAGCAGTAAGTGCCCGTTATTCAAACGAGCTTTAGCTGCTAGGGGACGCAAATAAGAATCATGCAAATTAATCTCAATCACGGCGAGGCAGCTCATGATCTGCTCAGACACACGGTCATAGAAGAGAAGATAAAACTGGTGTTGATCAGCGAGCCATTCAGAAGCATAAACCGTGGCGGATGGATTACCGATGCAGCCAGGAAAGCAGCACCGGATTTTGCACTCCTGGATGAAAGCGCCCAGCACAACGGCTTCGCGAGGGCGAGAGCTCGGGACATACATTGCTATAGCTGCTATGCACTCCCAAGATGGACGCAGGAAGAGTTCCTATAAATGCTAGATGATCTAGTGGCGGATGCCCGCAACAAACCACTGGTCATAATCGCGGGGGACTTTAAAGCCTGGGCGCTGGAATGGGGTAGTAGAATCACCAATGCTAGAGGCCGTGCCCTACTGGAAGCGTTTGCAATGCTACCACTGGCGCTGATGATTGACGGACAAAAACACGCGTTCAGGAAAGCAGGGTTTGGATCAATGATCGATGTCACTTTCGTGAGTGATAGTCTGGTGCCAAAGTGCAGGTGGACGCTCAGTGAGGGCTACTCGGGCAGCGACCACCAAGCCATCTTTATGGAGGTTGAGGCTCGGCGAGGTAGAGGAGATATAGGCCGGACTCAAAGGGGTCCGAAGTGGAACGACACGTCGTTCAACGGAGAAACCTTTAGACTGAAATTCTCTTCCCAAGCCATAAATGGTGATACCGCGGAGCTGCTCGTACGTGAAGTGTATACCGCGATAAACGAAGCATGCGACGCATCAATGCCTAGGAGAAGAATGTGCAAAAAAGGCGCCCCGTGCTACTGGTGGAACGCAGAAATAAGCCCGGCTAGGAAGTAGTGCCTTAAGGCCAGAAGATTAGTGCAGCGATCAAGGGGGAAGCTAGGCTTCGACAGTCGGGTCCTCGCCTACAAATGGCTGCGCGGGAACCTAAAGAAATCCATTAGGCGCAGCAAGAGGAGCTGTTTTGAGGCTCTCTGCAGAGGCTGATGTCAACCCATTGGGAACCGCGTATAAGGTGGTCCTCAAGAGACTTAAAGGGCACGGCAGGCCACATGTCACGTGCCCTGTCATGCTGAGTAAAAGTGTGACAACACCTTTCCCACAAAAGCTGCCTACGTAGCGGTGGACTTCTTCGGAAGGGAGCAGGAGCCACCCCCGGTTGCTACCACTGAGGACGTGCTTCCGGCCGGCAAAAGAATTGGCGACAAAAAGGTCCCAGGTCCGGATGGAATCCCAAATAAAGCCCTGAAGGCATCGATTAGGGTAAGGCCTGAGATATTTGCTCAGCCTATGCAACAGTGCTTCAGAGAAAGAGTCTTCCCGGAGAAATTGAAGGTGCAGAGACTGGTGCTGATCCCGGCCGGCTGACCCGTCGTCGTACAGGCCTATCTGTCTCCTGGATACGATGGGCAAGCTGCTAGAGTCAGTAGTGTACGAGCGTCTGCTAAGAGTAGCCGAAGAAAACGGAGCCCTATCAAATAACCAGCACGGCTTCAGATAGGCGCGGTCGACAATAGCCGCCATAAATCACGTAGTGGGGCTGGCGTCCGACGCCATAGCCGGGGATAGATGGGAGGGGGGCGCCAAGAAATACTGTGCCCTGATTACACTGGACGTTAAAAACGCTTTTAACAGAACAATGTAAAATATCAGCAGGCGTCCCACAAGGGTCAGTTCTTGGCCCTCTTTTGTGGAACATCATGTATGACGATGTGCTGAGGTTGGAGCTGCCCACCAGCACGACGAGTATTGGATTCGCCGATGACGTTGCGACAGTGGTGGTCGCAAAGCGTATTGCCGATATAGAAGCGAAAGCTACCGAGGCAATTATGCCTATCAAAGGATGGCTAAATAAGTTGGGCCCAGAGCTGGCTGAACACAAAACGGAAGTCGTGCTTGTGAGCAGCCGGAAGAAGCTAGAGACGTTCGAGATAACAATCGGGGACCACATTGCGCAGTCTGTCCACGCGCTCAAATACCTGGGAGTGATAATTGACCACCTTGCCGCATTGGCAAGGATTATGCTAAACGTGGGGGGTCTGAAAGCAGCTAGAAGAAAGGTCATAGCCACTGTGGTGACGTCAATCAATATGTATGCGACCCTAATATGGGCGGGTGCACTGACTGTAAAGACGGCATTCCGAAAATTGGCGGCGATATATCGCCTCAGCGCCCTGATGCAGATTTGCGCATTCCGGACCGTGTCGGGGGAAGCGGCGCTAGTGCTAGCTGGCAATCTGCCAGTCGACATCCTGGCCGATGAGATGAGCCGAATCTACCAACGGCGTCGCGGCAACGATCTCTCCGAGCTACTTATAAGAGGCGAGGAACGGATGGTCTCGTTGAGGATTTGGCAATCGAGGTGGGAAAGAACGACCAAAGGAAGATGGACGTTCGTTCTTATCCCTAACATAAGACGTTGGGTTGACAGACGGCATGGTGAAGAAAACTAGTACTTAACCCAGCTTCTGACTGGCCATGGCTGTTTCCGGAAATATCTACACAGATTCGGGCATAACAGTTCGCCTAACTGCCCGGTATGCGAGGATATGGAGGAGGACGCAGAACATGGAATGTTCTACTGCAGCAGGATCGAGAATAAGCAGCCTCTAGTGCCACTTAACGAGATAACAAGCGCAATGGTTGGCATTGCAGCAGCCTGGAACGGGGTAGACGCATTCGCTAGCAATACTCTCGCGGAGTTGCGGCGATTGGAGAGACAACGGGTGGTGAGCAGAGGGAGTGGAAGCCGATAGTGTATTCCACTGAGGTCCCACCATCAGGAGCATGCTAGCGACAACCAGCCTCCGCGAAGTAATACCCAACGATGGTCCCGCGGGGGAGAGTGGTATACGAAGTGTGTGGGGGGTAGTTTTTAATACGTATGCGTCAGGGATGGCGAATCGTGCATTCTGCTACTAAGACCCAGCAGTATCTTTTGAAGATTTTCTACTTCCAGCTCACAGAGCAAAAAAAAAAAAAAAAAAAAACATACCAAACATGTAAAGACGCACATATAAACATGGATAAACTCACATGAACAGAAATTACACATAAACCCACATAAGCGTAAACGAAGTGTTGTACACATAGGTTAAGAAACATAGCACTCACACACCTAACGGTGAATAAATCACGCGATTTGGTGCATGTTGAGTAGGCATTCGATCAAACATAGCAGTAAGTTAAACGTAAGCTGGCATTAAGTTATGTATAAGTACGTCATGTCAACTAAGGTTGCGGCAGCAACCAACCTAAATTAAGCATACACATCAGTATAGTACCATAGTACAAATGTAAATGCATACAGCCGAGGACAAGTTGCAAGGGAACAAGCGAGCGAGACTTCAGCTATAAAAGAGCGTCTCATCACACGAAATCTTTCAATCGTGTCATAGTCGCCTAAGGTAAGTACACGGACTACTTGACACGCTGACTCGTATTAGTAATTTCGTTTTTCTAACTCTACGGATAGGAGATGGATTAGTTTAGCTTAATCGCCATCCCAGAAAGACTGAAAGGCCTTTTGACTGTGCGGATAGGGGATGGATTGGTTTAGGCATCCCTGAATGACTGAAACGACTTTTATGGATATGGGATGGATTGGTTTAGCTTAATCGCCATCTCTGAAGGACCGATGATTTTTTTTGACATACGCCAACCAGAGACGGTGAGGGACAAATCATTGGCCCAGGGAGCCAAGGCAGCTATGACACGAACAACGCTTCCGTTTGTTTTTTTTGTAGTAAACCGCGATCTCCAACCACGTGTGTAACAAACCGGTCATAGACGCCTCAAGTGAGCCATAACCGTCTAAGTAATACGCGATAGTACAAGAAAAGTAATAAACCGCTAACCCCCT